ATGTCCCTGCCCATGGCAGGGGGGTTGGACTAGATGACCTTTAGAGGTCCCTTCCAACCCAAACTGTTCTATGATTCTACGATTCTATTTTGTATGCAGGATTAAGGGCATGATTCAGGAATTGTCAAAGTTATGAATGGCAGTTAGGATATCGAGAGCCAAATGGAAGTTAGATGCTCAGTTGTTGGTAATGCCATTGAAAACTTCCTCCAGCGCATTCATTCTCTATTAGAGGTTGGGAAAGAATGAACTGTCGCTTCTCAACTTACTACTGGACTAAATCCTAGTGAATTATAGGTGATCTGGAATTCTTGGGATCAAATTTCATCTCCTTCATGCAATAATTCAGTAGTTGTTTTTTTTTCCAATAGAGCTCCTGAAACACCTATTTGTTCTCGAACTGCATGGTCTAAGAAGGCATATGTCCTATACTCTGCATCAGCAACATCTTCGCTTTCTGTTACTCTAGACCTTTGGCCATCATCTTGCAACCCTAATCATTTGTGTTTCCTCTATCACAGACCTTACTAATTTTTTTGTGTTCCTGGAATTCTTGTGTGTTTATTCAGTGAATAAATTTATATGACTGTCTTTCGCAACCCAGCATGGTACTGCAATAGAAATACCACATCTAAAACAAAATAATAGCCCAAGCCCCTCTATAGTAAGAGGAAGTTCCTACTGTCTTGGAGGAATGTGGTAGGAGCTTAGAAGATCCTGTAAGTAAGGTTACATATGTAGCTTAATTAGCCCTATTTAAGGTTTCTTTTAATTCAGTCTCTTAAGCATATGAATTGGAGTTTGGGGTTCAGTGCCTTTTTTTGATGACGTGCTGGAGTAGGACTAGTTTAAGGGAGAGAAAGTCTGGAGAATTTAGCTACCAGTCAACAAGAAGTCTTTACTTGGCCTGTACAAACTGATTTTAAGGACACTTATAATCCATTTTAAGAGAGATTTGCATGTTGGTAAGAGGTGGTCTATCTACAGCACATTCAAAGCTGTTCGTTAAAAATGCACTCTGTGAATACTCTACATGTTCCTAGTATGTTGTCCAAATCGGACTTTTCAATTAAAGTCTTGCTTGTTGACATGACATGTAGCACCTCCTAATTCAGTTCTGAATTTGTTGCGCCTTTTTCAGTACTGTTTTGCAAATAAGAGATTAAAAGATCTTTCTATAGAACTTTGGCTGAAAGAAGATTAATACTGTGAATGCAAGCAGCATTAAAATTAAATGCAAATTTGTTGAAGATGTGACGTTTATTGATTGAATTTACTTCTGTAGGGTTGGGAACTTTGGAGAAAGTTTGTTTGTTTTTGTTTTTTAAATATATTTTTTTATTTGGTTTTTGTAGGAGATTCCTTTACACAGTTCCGATTTGCTGACGAGAAGGAATGGGATAGAGAAAGCATATGCCATAAGCAGGTAAGAGAATTATCATTCAAATGAGTTTATGTGGATAATCACCTGGCACAGAGTACCTAGGCAGTTGTGCTTTCAGCAACAAATTGTTTAATACAATAATAGCATTCTTTATTCTGTATATCTTTATTAATTTGTATCTGATGCTGGAGGCTCTTGGGTCTTGTCCTTTTTTATTTCTATTGAATACTGATCAAAGCAGCGGGCTAGGTTTTTAAGTAACGTTGGAAGAAAAGAACAAGCAAATCCATCCAATAAAGGGAAAATAAGGGCCTCTCACTTTGCTTTACTGACATATTAAATCAGCCTTCCTTTTTCAGCTGTGTTCAAGAGAAAATAGTTTAGTAAAATGACTATAACAAAAACCTATATGAGTATATTCATATATTTGACTATGAAGCTTGTTTTAGTTCTTTCAAATTAACAGTTCATATCCTCTGGTTGAAATTTCACCAGAGTGAAATGGTGAAATGACTATGGGACCAACTAGGTTTTAGATTATTTGTATGTGGATTCTTTATGCTGGAATAAAAAGGGGCAAAGCAATAGGAGTCTGCTCTTTTCTGTATCAGGATACTGGAAAGTGTCTTAATCTCTGCAGCTGTCTTCCTCACATAAGTCACCTAAATTACTGTAAGATAAATGCTTTTGGCTTCCAAGCTTTTCTTAGAATTGCAGCAAAACTGTGCTTGAGTGTTTCTTGAAACATACATATGTATTCAAATTTTAAAAGTTTGCTATTTATTTCTTAAAATATTGACAATAATTATTCCCTGGGAAGTGATATTTAAAGGTACATTAAAGTTGCAAAGTCAAATTAAACTGAGGAAATAAAACCAAGTGCAGCATTTGTTTAAACCATCATATGTTTGTTCAGTGGGATACAGTCTTTCAATGACTGTGTATTTTTTTTCTTATGAGTCCCTCCCACTCCTAGTGTGCAGGATGTCAGTATCCAGAATATTAATTTCTTCATAATTTCCTCATACACTTGTCATTATAGCATTTAGGTGATTTGGACACATTCATTAATTTCATAGAATCATAGAATCATAGTATAGTTTGGGTTGGAAGGGACCTTTAAAGGTCATCTAGTCCAACCCCCCTGCCATGGGCAGGGACATCTTCAACTAAATCAGGTTGCTCAGAGCCCCGTCCAACCTGACCTGGAATGTTTCCAGGGAATTTCTGAATAGCTAAAGCCATTGTGAGCAGAGTGAAGTTGCATGTTGCCAGTGGATTTCACAAATATTCTTCTGGCTGCCAGTGAGGAGACTGCACAGTTCTGGAGCTGGTCCTACGCTCTCGCTCATTGTGAAGTGTGCTGTGGTGGGCACGTTCTTCTGCCTCTGTCCCTACCAAACTGTAGTCATTCGTCCTGCCCCATCCAAATTTGTTGTTTCAAACTGTTTCCTGTCTTTCATTGTTCTTATGTCAGTTTGAAATCGTTTACTGCACTAGTCACCATTACGCTTCCTTTGATCTCTTATTTTAGTCCAGAATCCTGGCCCAGATGGTTTCATAGCTTTATCTAATTTTTCACATTGTCTCTGGTCTTCAGCCTGTTACCTCCTTTTTGTTTCTTGCCCATCTTTCTTTTCCCTGAAAGCTGGATCCGGGTCTAATTTTCATCCTAGATCCACTTTGCCAAATTCCTTGCCTTTGCCTCTTAGCTCACCTGTTTCTAGTTCTTTGTCTGTCTATACGTTATGTTCAAGATTAGAGAATTGTAAACTGAACTGAAGTGATTACGATGCAACAAAATAAAGCAGAAAAGGCATAAAAATAGTTGCAGAATGACGAGATATTTCCCATACCCTGTTATTTGTAGAAAGCAATGGCAAAGCATCGGTTTCACATATGGACTAGAAATGTAACAATGACATCAACAATGACAAATTTTCAGTTTATTAAGAATATTATCATTCATTGTTACAAAAAGTATATCTGGATTTGCTTTATTGTATACTGATAAAATGCAATAAAAATGTTTCAGAACACAGTCTGCAATTTAAAAATCAAACAGCTAATAGTAATTTGGATTTTTCAGTAAAAAATCACAATTCCAGCAACAAAGTATGCCTCTACTTATTTTCTTGAACAAATAACTACATGTGCCATGAAGTGTTTATAATTTATTAAATACTGCTTTGATCCCTTTGTTTGTTTTTTATTCAAACACCACTTTTAGTGAAATCTCTACTTGGATACTGAATTCCTTCTTCCATTATGTTATTTCTCCAAATTCCTCTTTTCCTTCATCCTCAGCCTTTCCTCCTCTTCCCTGTCTCCATTTTCACCTTCATTTGCAATGTTCATTCACATTAATCTTTTTGCAAGTGTACTTAGCCCTTCCCAAAAGCACTTAATTGTTATTCAATGATATGTGACTTTTTACAATTTTTTATGTTACCAAATTCATACGATTTCCTTGTCCTTTGCAAATGTGCAGAAGCCATATTTGATCTTCAGTATCTCTCAAAAGAACTGGGTTTTCTGAAGTTCTAGTTCATTGCTGGGCAACAAGAATTGCTTGTTGAAGACTTTCTGAGGTTTCTTGTGGCAGTGAATCATCTTTGATAGTGATCACTAATCCATTGTAAAATAAAGTTGTTAGTAAAGAAGAAAAATTCTAACCATCAGATATTTGTTTGGTCCTTTTACTCTCATTACTGGATACCAGAAGCAGAATTTGGATACAAGAACCTGTTAAACCAACTGCATTGTTTCTTTTTTTAATTTATTTTAATTTTGTAAACATGCTATCAGAACACACACTGTCTTTGATGTTCATTCTTGCTGTGTGTGCAGGTGTCAAAAGCCATCCTGTTGACTGGCTTTTGGGAGCAGTGTGAATTCCTTTGATAAATCTCTTACGATATGGCACAAAACACTCTCTCCTAATTTATGAGTACTTGGACTTCTAAATGTCTGTGTTAGTCTATACCATACTGAGAGGGACAAATTTTTGTCTCTAAGCTGGATTTAGAAGCAGCTTCTCTGCTTCCATGAAAATGAGAGTATAGACTGAACTAGCATTTTGTTGTCAGATTTTAAAATTTGTGATGGATATCAAATTATTTTCATCGATGGTGAACGTGCTCAGAATGTTCTGCTGTACTGTGAGCTCAAAATCTGTTTAAGTCTACCAAAGTCCAGGTAGACTGACCAACATCAAATATTGCTGGTCCGTTTTGTGTAAATTTGTTTTTAATAGTTTACAGCCAAAAAAAAAAAGGGGTCAAGAGAAAAGGAAAGACGTTAATAAGTGACAGTTCCACCTTTTAAGCAGTTAGGCAGCAGTAGAGTATCTTTCTTGAATATCTTGAATATCATTTTAGAGGTGTATGTAACTATAGTTTGTTGCTTTTGTAAGCATCGAAACAACGTTTTAAAAGACAGGGAAGTATAAAAAGGGCCACGTTGTTTAGGCACTAAAAACAGTAGAGCTACACACAAACTACATGGTTTGATTGCTTAGAAAATAGTAGCAACTCATTAAAGAATGGCAATTCCCTCTGCATAGAAAGCTTCACAGATTAAAAGATGTTTGAGTTGGAAAAGCCTCTTATGACATTGACAACTTGCAGAACTATTTCCTACTTTGGATTTTCAAGGCATTGCCTAAGGAGCATTCCATTTATACCTTGTTTTTAAACCTTTAAGTGATTATTTGCATTGTAGGTGTTTATATGGTAATTTAGCCAAACTGCTTTGTACACGTGTAATTTAGAACTACGAATTCCTGTGTTTCATTAGATTGTTCCTCACATTCCTTGAATGTGTGGAACAGGGGAATGTAATAGATTAAAGTCATTATTAGTTCTTTTTTTTTTTTTAATACAAGCGTACTGTGTGTTGAATTATATTTCAGTTATCTGCACTTTCTGTTGACTGCCAGTCCTTGGTCCAGGCCCTTCAGGAATTGCCTCTACATCTGAGGTTGAATGTAGCTGCTGAACTTCTGCAGGTAACACTGTGAATTTTCACAAGAAAATGCAAATATTTGAAGTGAAACAATCTATGCAAGAATGATTACTTTAAACTTGGTCTTCGAACATAAGTAGAATGTATTTTATAAGTAAATACATTTCTTGAGACTGGCATGTCAAATGGCATGTAATGCAGGATACCCGTCTATCAGCACTTTTTATGCTTTGTTGGCTTTAAACAAAATGCTTTGATGTGCAGCACATTAGATTTGAAACCAGGTATCGGAGTGTTTGACATGGAATGATCGCACTGCTTTTGTATTTGCTTCTCTTGTTAGCAGCTGTTAAAAGCTTGCACCAAAATTTTGAAAGTGCTTTCACATTCTTTCCTGTTAATTATTTTAATTGTGATTTACTCTGCTACATAGCTAATATCAACATATATTTTTTTTCCATGAATCAAACTTACATCTGTGTTAGAACAGGTAGAACTGTCAATCGAACAGGTGAAGAAAATGGCATTTATGCTCTTGTGGGGGAAAAAAAAAAGCAACCGAATATTAGGAAAAAATGTTTCTTCAGGCTGTGAAGAAGAAAATATTCATGTAAGGGCAAAAGAACCAATGAGACTTAAATATAAAAACAAAATTCTTAAAAAAAAATCCATCTGCTCAAGCAAGGAAAAAGAAACATGACCCTTACAGAAGAAATTTTACTTCTGTTTGGAGTTGCATGAAGTGCTTCTGTGACTGCAGAACTATGCCCTTTCTTTAGGGAGCTCAAATATGTCTGCAGATGTGATGTCTAAGGGAATCTGCAAATGTTACTTTTAAATACAATTTTCTTTTTAAGAGTTCTAGTCACAGTCTTTAACTTTTACCAGGGTTATAAAGACATTTAATCTTTGTCCTGTCATTCTGACCAGTGGTGTGGTCATCAGATATGCTGCAGTGTTATTAACACCAGGGCATCCTGATAAAAGCAGAATCTGTGTTCCATGGTGAAATAATGAGTTGCCATTTCTTGTTTCACTCTTTGATAATGTTTTGTAATTTGGTTTCATTTTTCAAAACATACAGCTATATACTATAACTTTTGCTAAATGATTTTCAGCGACCTGTAGTATGGTTTGCTTTCAAGACTGGAATTTTGGAGGGAAGGCCTAACATGGGATAATGTTTCTAGCCAAATTCTGACTTCGCTCATTCCAAAATTCAGAGTATTGGTGGGGTTTCATTACAGAAGAATTAAAGAAAAGTAACTCTCCGGGAAGTGTTTGTGAAACAATGGAACTTGCTGATTTAGCATACAATCTCATATTCTGTAATGAGGGGTAAAAGGAGTGTATTTTGTAGTTGCTTCTGTAAAAGTACCATCACGATAACTTTTAGTTTACTTCTGAATTCATTTCTGCTGAAATTCATTGTACCTTCTTAAGTGATCAAATGTAGGAAGCATGAATTACAATCCAAATTAGATAAAATAGTAAAAATGGAGTTAATCATTAGAAAGACTAAAGTCCTTTCTTGTACTCTTAGGCATCAACACCTGTAGAGCTCCCACAGATGAAATCTAAAATTATTGAAGATGGCAAGAGGAGAGAGCTTTTGTTCCGACAGACTCTGGCTCAAAGTGAAACAGTGTTGGTCTCCCATCCCACTGGTGATTCTGTTGCTCCATCAGAGCCTGGAAGTAAAAATGGTCCTGGGGCAAGTACAGCAGAACCATTTCAGAGAGCCCAACCACAATCAAAGCAAGAGACTGACCATTTGGATGAAGAACTAGATCTTCTCCTAAATCTAGATGCTCCCCTTGATACAGAAAACAGGCCTGTGTCAGGTTCATTACCCTACAACATATCAACTGAGAAAGATTTGAAAATGGATTGTAAGGAAACCGGTAAGATTTCTCTTCTCCCCAGCATGCCCTTATTTAATTTCCATTGCTCTCGGTTTTGATGACGTTTTTGAACTCTTGATTAGGCAGTCAACAGTACTGCTGTCATCATCTCTGTCATACTGCATTTCATTTATCTGGGGCTATGTTCTGACCCATTTGTTCCTTTTCAATTTTAACTCCCCACTGAACTAAAGTTTCACCATTGTCAGTTCATTTTAAGCATTAAGAGAAATTCTTCTGCAGAACAGCATTGGTCTTATGATTCAGCAAAACTGTAAATTAAAGAAAAAAATTAATGGACTGCTAGAGAATTTTAGTGAGAGGAAGATAAAATAAAGTTTTTACATAGCATTATCAGCCCTTGGTTCAGTGTGCTAGTAGTATACAGAAGAATTGACAGCTATTTCTGGTGGTTTGTTATAAATGATATTTTCACACTTTACCAGCGTTGATTTTACAAAATTAAGTTGAGGATGGAAACAAAATATATACAAAAATTTTCATATTTCAGAAAAATTGGCAAACCGTTCCTTTTGTTTGCATTCCTAGAAGTTATACTACTGTTTGTTAGTTTCGATGGAGGTGGTTTGCTTCTCCTCCCCAGTCCACAATGCTGGAAAAGAATTTTTAGCATCTCTGATTTTTTGTGAATGATTTTCTCGCTGTCTTAAAAATTAAGTTCAAGATGTGGTGACATCTTACATGTTCAACCAGTACAGCAAGCCTTGTTACTGAAGACAATCTTGAAATGCTCTTTCATTGCAGTGGTATGTCATGCTTTCCACTCCAAAGCAAAGTGTAAATCCCTTAAGAAAACAATGCCATCAGAATATGGAATCATATCATGCTGTAATAATCATGCAGGGCCATCTGCTGTTGGGGCCTCCTGCTCCGTTCCTACATTAAAGTAAACTCTGCCTTGGACAGGATTTGAACAGATCTCAGTAGGGGGATCACTTACGTCTGCTGCAGACCAGGCCTTGCCCCCTTTGAATCAGATGGAAGCCACATTGCTCTGGTTGAGCCTATTAAGCTGCCCTTTTCTTTTTTTTTATTGTTGCTACTATTTTTGGAATATGACTCGCTATTCTTCAAGAAAGAGAGATTGTGTTTAAATTGAGTCAGTTGTGTATTAAAAAACAAAATGATCTGGGACAAGGAGCTGGTATGGAATTCTTTCCAGATTTTCAAGTCTGTTCTTTTCACTTTTCTAGACCCTTTAAAACTAGATATGCCTGAAGAGAAGAGTACAGCATCACCGCAACAGCAAAGTACATCTAAAAATGTTACTGAGGAAGAGCTTGAAGATTGGCTGGACAGCATGATTTCCTGAAGCTCAAATTTTCTTATGTGATTAATTGAATATAGTAAACATTAAGTAGAAAGTTGAATCTTCCTTTATCTCCTTGTTACTTCTTTATCTGTTTCACTTTGTGCAGTATGCCAAATGCCTGGTTTTCTTTGCTGGCACCTAAAATTCTGTGCAACCAAAATTCACTTAGATGTGATTGAAAATTGTCTAAGACTAATATTCTTAGAAAGGTCTAAAATTTGTGATGAAATTAGCATTGCCTTTGCTAAAGATGCAGGCGACAGCACACTAAGAGAAGTTATTTCAGCTTGTACTTGCTCTGTGCAGTCCTTACAATAAAGCTATGAATGAACAATGAATACATGTGTTTTTAGTCACCACCCTCACGCCACATCTCCATATTGTAGAAAAATGAGAAAGAAGACAGCAAAGGTAATATTTGGTTTATAATACTTTATTGCAGTGGGCACTTTTTATTAGAAGAAAAAAAACCGCATAATCCTAGCAGCTTCTACTTGCAGGTGACCATAGAGCGTTGTTTTATTTTGGCCTAAGATTTAAATTGTATTCATTTTGATACAGTGTATGTCTTTTAACAGCAGCATCTAATAAGCTGTTATTGAAGGTAGTATATAAACAAACTTCAAGTGCAATTTCATACAGAAAGACAGAAAAGCAATACAGTTAATGGATCTGTTCATCTAGAACACTAACAAATAAAAAGTTTGCATAGCTATGTCTACAGAGGTTTTAAGGCACTTAATGTTTCAAGGTTGACGAAGTGTTTGAAAATGTTTTCTTTTTAACTGCTTAAAGCTTTTCAAGCTGTATCTTAATACATTCACTAGCACATACTGGGCGGAAAAACTGGACAGCAGTTAGTTAAAATATTTTTTCTGAGGCATGGCCTCTGATGTTCAAGTTCTTAAATGTCAAATGTTGTGCAATTAAGACACCTTTTAGCCCTTTCAGCTGTACTGCCAAACACTAGGTTAATGATGTGGTTAAAAAGTTGTTATCATTTCAGACCGTGTTTGAACCGGAAGGCTTAAGTTTATCTGGCATAGTTTTCTCTTTTCTAATTAAAATTCCAACAAAAGACCTGTTTCATATGTGGTAGGTACAAAAAGCCTATGAAATAGTGTCAAATTTTATGTATGTCTTGAAGTTTAAAGACATTTAAAGCAAATACAAGCTATGAAGTTACACCATGAAAAGAAAAGGTTTTTTGTATACTGGATCTTAACAGTTCATGAATAAATTAATTTATTTTGTGATATCAGCCAAGTTGATCCTCATACTGTTTCCGGAAGCAGTCCCCTGCTGGGAAAAAATCCCAACATCTTTCTTGGTACATCTTCCACACAAATGACTCCTGAAAATGATAGAGCATTTATTTTAACAGACACCTTGCAGTTAGCGCTCTGGATAAACTTTTAACAATAAACAGGTACTGTGCCTATTACCATGGAGTAGAACCGTGAAGACATTGAAACTCAAAGATTGTAACTCAAGAACATTTATAAAAGTATTATTCTGTACTTCTCTTGATTCAGTATTACTGAAATTTAAGCTCTATTAGAAAAACTGTGTAAGTGTAAATTAATCAGTCTAGTTATATCAGAGTAAACCTGTACACAATCTGTATATATAAAATGTGTTTTAGTTTGCTTGGAAAACATTGAAGTGTAAGGTACTTCGGTAGTGTTTGCATAACAGCTTCTTATTTTGAGATAAGAGATCATTAAATCCTATTTATTTTCTTACTTATTTACATTTAGGGCCTAGCAACGCTAAACATACATACACACATCCATATACCTATCTATATATACATATATATGGATTTAGACTATATATATAGTAGCTTAACTATTTAATCTTTTGGGAATAAACTACAGCTAGTATATTTCAGGGTTTCATTTGAGAGATAAGATGACAGTAAGATTACTAGTAACTGACTTCTGACAGAGTTCAGTGCTGGGTAGAGCACACTGCTGCAGCCCACCCCCTCCCTTTTTTTTAACCTTTCCTTTTCTTTCACTTGTAGAAGACTCTTGGGGAGGGTGGCATCATCTCCACTCCTTGGTGGTACATCAGTTCCACCTGGTGGTACATAGCTACAAGGCTGGAGAAGATAAAAACGTTGAAAGAGAATCTTAAGAAAAAAAAACCTGTTTCATTTTCTACTCACCTGGCCAGTATGCTCAGTTTCATCCTTGTTAATGAGATACATTAAAAAGAACCTGAAACAAGCACATGAAGCAGGTATTAGTGCGGAAAACATAACATCTCTGCGTAACCTTTCCTAGACTGGGGTATGTGAGGGAGATTATGCCAACTGGCAAAGTAATGATATTGCTAGGCATCTAAAGTGCTTATGTCAAAGGAGAAATTTCTATCCTCCAGCACTTCTCCTGTGGAAGTGCTAACAGGTGTAAAATCTGTAGAAGTGGAAAAATGTGGTTTAGCATTTTCTTCATTTCAATGCTAGGAGAAATGCCTGAATTAGGCATATGCCAACTCCTGTACACACACGCTCCAACATCTCACCTTGGAAGAAGTTACTATGGCTACTGTGCAAGAAGTTAGAAGTGTGGCAAATACTCAGCTGCACCAAGATTTCCAAACACTCATGCCATACAGCTTATAAGCTGAGCCTATCTGTCTCAGATACCTGTGCTCACTGAAACATAAAGCGCTTGAACGAATTAGGAAGGCTGTTCTAACATTGTACTAACAATGGTCTGTTTATATGTAACACAACTCTTGGTTAGCCACTTTTGATGCCGTGCATTTGGAATTAAACCTGGTATGTGCTTTCATTGTAAAGAAAGGAATGTATACTGACTTTAACATTCGTCTAATTACGGGGCAACCTGGTTAGAAAGATTGTTCGCTATATATTCTCATATTAAGGAAATGGCCATTTTTAATTTACTGTGAATTACAGGTTCCCATGTACCAATTAAGCAATTCAATATAGTAAGAAAAGCTGGGAGGTTGTAGACTGGTAAAAGTATGGATGTTAATGGGAATTTGCCTCACAAAAGTAACGTGCATTGATTTTGCAGTGTCAGTTGCTATGCAAGGAATAATGCAGCCTCCACTCCCTTCCCCTCCCCCTTTTTTTTTTTTTTTTTTTTTTTTAATTTAAGAAGTTCAGATGCAGTATTCCAAAGCCAGACTTCTATAAGATACCACCAGTTCATCTCCTTTGGTTCTGCTGGCACAATGTTCATATAATTATCATTGTTGTATGAGTAACTAATGCCACCAAATTAACTTTTTAAATATCCTCTTTGATCTGCTCTGTATTTACTAATGAAAGTAAAGATCACTGTCTTGGGAGTCTGGGCAATAGTCTAAACACATACAACTCCTGATTGCTTCGAGGTTTCGGAAAGCTGCACTATCACTAAAGAACTATAGCATCAGACTCGTACATTATTTTTTGTAGCTTATCTTTCAGGAATCTTCTAGAAATGCCCTTTTTTTGTTCATTTGTTTGTTTTGATGTTTGTGTTTTCTTTTTGTCAAATTGAGGCTAATTTTCAATGGGTCTCATCAATGTTACCAAACCCGCAGAAGTCACAATCAAAACTTCCAAACTAAAGCAACTTATTCAACTGTTGTTCCCTATCATTCCACATATCTGGGTTTCCTTCCAGAGGAATAAGGAGTTGGTGCGCCTTCAGGTCTCATTCCACTAAGGTAGCTCATGTGTAAGGTAAGCACTTTAAAGATAGCCAGCAGTGTGGAGTAGAGGAGGAGAGACCAGAAAGGAATGGAGATATTCCTCAGTTCTACAGAATTCTGTCTTAGGATTGTCAGCAATGCGTGCACCTAAATTACTCTGGAGCTGAAAGGTTCTTCATCGTAATTCCAGTAGTAAAATATACTTACAGATAGTTTGCCAAGTTGTGTTCTTGCAAAGTATGTGTTTCAAAGCCATGTGGGGTTGTGTCAAAATAGTCATTGCCGATTCCACAAATAAAACACTTGGTCTGGAAACACAAGTTGTGGTTACAAATGAATTTTAGCTCAAAGACACTACCTTAACTGGTAACAATCTAGATGAACAAGAGTAATGAAAAATGTAGTGTGCTTACTCATACCTCCATATCTTCTCTCACTTGTTCTTGCTGGTCTCTTAATTCACCAAAAGCATCAATAATCAGACCTATTTCAAATGGAAAAGTAGCAACACTTCAGTACTTAGCAATATTCATGTCTGAATGACAAGCAATGTCTGTCAGACATCCTCCGCTGTCTTTAGAGTTCAGCGTACTTATGTCTAGGCTGAACAATTCAAGTTACAATCTGTTGATTTCCACACATCTAACATTTGTTTACACTGCACTCCTAGCAGTAAGAATTTCTCTTACATAGAAGTACAATCTTGAGAGTGGACAGCCTTTTCTGTACTTATATTTTGGTCAATTTAAGCTTCCATAATCTCATATCTTTTGTTCCCATGAAAGAATTTAATTTTCATTCTCCTTCTCATGGAACCCTTGTATATCCCAACTTTTGTTCAACAACAACGACAACTTAGCTCTCACAGGCCCCCCAGCCAGTGTGTGATACTGCTTCATATTTGAAGCATTATTCCTCCACTTCCAACATATTAAGAATAAAGTTGGATCATTTTGGGGACTATGACATTCATAACTTTTTCTCAGGATAGATGTATTACGTTTGTTCTTTGCCACCACATTGCTATAAACCGGTGTTTTTTCCTAACAGCCTTGGGTCAGTTTATACAATGAGTGTTGAATACTGACAGTCATTGAAGAGAGGTCTCGTTCTCTGTAAACCACAACTGCAAACCAATTAAAACTGCAAATCATCCTCTAAAGAAGGGAGGAAATGGGTATGTGGCCATGGTGACTTTCTCCATGTCATTTCCCCTTTCCAAGGGGAAGGTCTCCATTCCCCAGCCAGCTGTGGTGGTTCCAAACTAAAGGTGTGAAGAGTGTCTACAGGAAGGCTCTCCAAGTTTAAATGGTTATTATAGGAAGAACAGTGGTCCTGCACAAGCTGCGTCACAGCTGGATAGTTGTCAAGGTGTTCATAAACACTGTAACGCAGGTAAGTTATGTTTCTTGTGCTTTGTTTTTGTGTAGTATTGGGACAATGCATTATTTATGAATTGCATATAAAATTATTACTTTCAGAATTGATGATTGTATCGGCTCAGAAGTAAGTCTTTATAGCAATACTGCTAAATTTACCTCAAACACAAATATGGTTTAAATACATTGCAGAACTTAAGTAAACTAAATTCTAACAGTCTGTATCTAAGGTAAGTGATGGTACCTTGAATAATGGCCAGTAGGATAACAATGACAAAGAA